TTGAGGACAGCTAGGTCCCAGCCCAGCCTGGCCTTTGGCTTCCTGTTAGCCAAGATTGCTCTACTTCTCAGGTTTGAGAGCTTTCCCCTTGATAGAGAAGGCAGGGTCCTTTGAGTTCCGTTCTGTTCTATACATTCTGTTATGTTCTGTGGACATTAAGCCTGCCCCTTGTTTTTTTCCCCCTTGGCTCTGAATGGGGTGGAGAAAGTCTCTTCCGTCTTCTTTAAGTCTCAGTGTTTCAGGGAGGTGGGACTCAGCCCCACGTAGGAAGGCCTTATTCTTTCCGCAATCCAAGCCCAAAACCTCGGGCTTGCTCTGAGGAGCCAGAGCAAGGGAGGAGTGGCGAGCAGGGCAGGGGTCTGGCCAGAGCATGGTCTGCTGGGGCAAGGGTTATCAGTCGTTACCAGAGGAGATGCAGATCTGCACTGAGGTCAGTGCATAAGCTTTGGAGTCACACAGGCCTGGCTGCGGAATTCTGGATAACAATTCCTGCTTCTCAGAGTTGCCGGAGGATTAAATGAGATCATGTTAGGTAACCTTCAGTGTCTGGCATGTAGTAAGAATGTCACAAATCGCAGCCGATACCATTAGCATTGCTTTTGCTATTATCCAAAGAGCTCTGGTAGTCCCAAACATTCCAGGGAGACTTCAGGGCCTGCCTACGACTTCCCTGACCCCAGAAGCTCCTCCAGATGCTTCTTCCAGCACATAGACACCACAAGCCAGGCCAGGCTGGATTCATTGTGGCCCTGGCTCCCCAGTTATCTAGTTATGAGCCAGGCTTCTCAGATCTCCACCCCCACAGATACGGGCGATGACCCCACCTGGCTGTGCTTGCCTGAGGGAAGGAGCCCTGGGCTTGGAGGATGGTTGGCTGGGATCCAATCTCAACTTCACCTTCTTATTCTGCTGAACCTCAGTTTGCTTACTTGTCAAATGGGTGTAATAACAGAGCTTGCCTCATTGAATCATTCCAAAGGTTATTACGGGAAAGTGCCCAGCTTGGGACCTGTTACCAAGTAGGGACTCAAGAAAGTTTGCTAAACTTTAATTCAGCTGCCCACATGCCTGGCCTCCTTTTGAGAATTAAAGGAGGCAGGTATCCTAGTGGGGGAATAAGGGACCAGGGAGGGAGTGGTGGTCTTGGAAATAGAGACTTTTCCTCACTAGCTCATTGGTAGCTCCTGTCAGTGAATCTGCCTCTACTGGGATTCTGGCTGGGCATGTGGTGAGGAGGGAAATGGGGAAGAGAAGAGAGAGGAATCAAAGAGATGATAAAGAGGAGGCTTCTTCAGGAAGCATAGAGACCACAGCTCCATGATCGGTCAGTGCAGAAGCTGAGATTGGAACCCAGCTATGCCTGACTATAAAGTCTGTGCCCTTTCAACTTCCAGAAGCTGTCCAGGGGAAAGGCGTGCTTTCCAATGGGGTCTGTGAATGACCCTCTCACTTTCCAGAGCCATCAAAAGGACACCGAAAGCCCAGGGTTACCTGATGTGACCTCAGATCCCAAAAGTTGCTCAGGCTGCGATCAGACTGTGAAGCAAAACTGACAAAGTCCAGCCAACTTGATGGGGAGCTCCTGAGCAAACACTGCCCATTAGAAAAGTTCCACACTGGGCAGAAATGGCCAGATCCTAGGACCCACATGCTTCTCTTTGGCTGGGAGCTGCCCAGAGAGCATGGCCTTGGCCTGAAGGATCTGCAGATCGAAGCTGTGACCCTACTGCCCTTCGAGGGCAAAGCTGAAGGGCAAGTTCTTTATTGAAGGTTCCAGTAGTGCACCTTCATGACTCCCACAGTCTAGCTATGCCCTGCATGGATGCACTGTTCCAAGTTTCTGGTAGACCTCTCTTCCTGACGGGAGGAGACTTAGAAGAGGGAGGTTAGTGGGACAAACTACAGCTCCCATCACTGCAGCTGAGCTTGGAGCTTTAGCTGGTGCTTATCCCCTCATCTCCTTCACTATCCATTCTAAATCTCCCCCTACACACACACACACACACACACACACACACACACACACACACACACACACACACACCCTACCCTCAGCTATCACCTTGGCAGGTCAGATGATGTGACCCAAGCCCTTATTTCTCATTCCAGGGCCTGAATTATAATTCTTCTTCTGGAGTTTGCCACAAACATCACACCACATCTTTTTCTATACTGCCATCTCCAACACCAAGATCAGCTGGATTGTATGACCCAAGTGACAGCATTGCTTACATGCAGCCCGGACTTGCTGCAGAACCCTCTCCTGCTCTGGACCCCACTCAGACCTGGGCACCTTTCATGTTACCCTATATATGGACTGGAGCAGTGTCCCTACATATGGAATTGTGCCTCCAGAACCCAAAAAGGTCCAACTGGCACTGTGATTCCTTCTTTATGGTGACAGAACAAAATGCAGCCATTTGTCTTTTGCTTTGAATGGGATGTCCTAGCATGCTCTGACTCCTAGACCCCTAAAATCTTTCCTGGTGTGGCAGGCTTGTAAATCTTTGGAAGGCTTATCTCCCAATCTCTGGAGTGCATGTGTCTCATCAAGGCCTCCAGTGTGCTAGCTGCCTCTTGCTCATGCCCCTGGAAAGTATAATGTCATTGATGTCATTGATCAATGCGATGTTCTGCAGAATGTCCAGGGGGTCTACATCTCTTTGAACTATTATGACAAGGAACAGAGAATTAACACAGCCCTGGGATCAAACTATGAATTTATTATATATTATTATATATTGTTGTCCATTCCATGTAAATGTGAGCTGTTTCTGATCTTCTTTCCTGGCTGGGACAGAAAATATCACGTTTACCAAATCAATAGTGGCATGCTATGTACCTGAAGCCATATTAATCTGCTCTAGCAAAGACCCTGGATCAGTATGGGAGCTGCTTTTAGGGCTACTATTTGGTAGAGCTTTCAGTTGTCTATAGTCACACTCTAGGATCCATCTGGTTTCTGCCTAGACCAGACTGATAAATTAAACAGAAATACGATAGGGACCATCACTTCTGCATCTTGAGATCCTTAATGATAGCATTAATATCTGCCATCCTTTCTAGGTTACAATATTGGTTTTGGTTTACTACCATGGTGAGGACTGGGAGTGTAGAGAATAGAGAGAGGAGTGAGAAGGCGGGAGAGGAGAACACATTCATAGGCTTCCACTTGGTCTTCACTATAGGAGCTCTTAACCCACAGGTCAAGGACCCAATGTAAGGATTATTCTATATGCCAAGTATGTCAACCCCAGTTATACATTCAGACATCAAAGAGATGAGTACTAAGTGGCCTCACATCCTCACTGGAAGCTGGACTCTGGACAGGACTCCATTAACTACTACCTGACCCTCATAAGTGTCCGTAATGACACTTTAAGTCTCTGGGTATTAAAGTCAACTCAGACCTCCTCGGACCAATTCTCGTAGAAATGTCTGGGCAGTCCCATTTCCCCAGTACAGACTTTGAGTATATGGCCATCAATCCCTTTGGGGAAGGACTAGGAATATCCTTACAGCATATGCTTGCCATGGTGTAGCCTAGTCCTTTTTTTTTCTGGAGACCCAGCCACCTCTTCAGTCGGCAGTTTCTCCCTTTTACTAACACAAAGATCTCAAAACTGGATCACATCCAAGAATTGGGCAAGAAATTGTGACATTTCGCTGGAGCAATCACCCTAAACGTCCTGCTTAAAATTCTTGCTTTCTTTTAATGATACCCTTACTGGTTATACATCTATTTTGCCTGTAGGGATACCTTATGCTATTAACCATTTCCACAGCTCTCTAGATCAAGGTCCCTGAGCTGCCACCCCAACTTCACTGGTTTTAAAATAATTGTGACCTCCTGGCTTTTGTATGGGGCCTCATCACCTCCATTGCTACCAATGCACAGGCCAAGCTCTATGACATACTCATCTCCTTTGAACTTAGTGACACTGGTGCCCTCTCACCAACACACTCCTGATGAACTTGGTAAATGATGTCTCCTTTAGGCCTTCCCATGGACGATCATCCTCTGATGGGTCTTCTGGCCTCACACAATATATCCACTCTCACAGTCTTCTTCCCTGAGCCTTTTAATCCCTTTCTCCACCATTTGCCATGGCAATTCAGGCATTTCAACTTTGCTTGGTGTGGGCCATCTAGGAGCCTCTCAAGCAGCAAGTTTGCACTGGATGCTGGGAAAGTTTAATCCCATATTCCCAAGTAAATAAACTCTCCCTTATCCAGTTGTCTGTGCTGGATCACAGTTTTACAGTATTTCACAGAAATACAGTTTTACTGCGTGATTCTTGCAGTTCCTCTGGGGTATTGCCCTTTTCTCCCGTATAAGAACTTGGCTGGGTCACGGTACAATGTAGTTCTAATTATCAGCCTGGCTGCCAGGAAAGGAGATAGAGCAGAGTCTGGAGAAGACCCATATTGCCTGGTGGAGGAGAAGCCTCTGCAGTGTATTCTTGCATGTGGGGAGTGCTATCTTCTGTTAGTCCTGATTGGGCCATCTCTGCATGCTCTGATAATGCATAGTCTGGGAAGCCAAAATATACAGGTGGCCCCATCCCATGTGTTTGGCCCAGGTTTTCTCAACCAGCGCCCTGAACTTTGCATAGCAGACTTGCCTCCTTGAGCCTTCTACCATCTTTGAAGTTCCATACTTTAAATCCTGATTTTGATCATAAGCTTTTTCTGCTCTCCCTTTGCAGGAAATAAAGGCTTATTTGTAAGGCACCCCAAAGCACAGTCACACTTAAGTTTTTGTTTTTTAAGTGCCCTCAGCTTTTCATTATTTCTCTGTAGGGTCAATGCAACTTAAATAACTTAATGCAGTCAGTTAATTCCATTGTCCTTTATGCACGGCCCGTGTAGTTTTTAAACACCTGAATCATGGCATGGCCAGGGTGTTCCCTCCTCTGGAACCTTCTTCCAAGTATTACCAATAAAAGTTTTAGCAACTGAGCCACCTCCTGTGCCAGAGACTATTGTGCCCCACGTACCTCTGGAGATGGGGTCTTTATTGACAGCTGGGCAGCAAGTAATCCAGTAAAAAAGCCCATTTTACCTCCTTTGCCAGTTTTGGTCCTTCCAGAAGCAGACCCTGATGGAGTTAAGAATACAAAACACTTATTAGGAGATAATGCCTGTGACAGATGGAGGGCGACAGGATTAGGCCTACGATTGTGATACAGATCTGATCACGTCTCTGTCCCACTGAAAGGTGTGGCTACCCAAAGGGTAGTGTGGGAAAAGTGTGGCTACCCAAAGGTGCTGCAGTGAGAGGGGGTCCACTAACTACCCTCCTGGTGGCTTGTTATAGGTTGAATTATGTCTCCACCCATCTCCCCCACAAAAAGATATGTTGAAACCCTAACCCCCAGGACCTCTGAATGTGACCTTATTTGGAAATAGTGTTGTTGCAGATGTAGTTAGCTAAGATGAGGTCGTATTGGAGTAAAATGGGCCCTTAATCCAACATTACCAGTGTTCTTATAAGAAGAAGACGTGTGAAGACGGAGACACACAAGGAGAACACCATGTGAAGATGGAGGATTGGAGTAATGCATCTACAGGCCGAGGAATGCCTGAGGCTACCAGAAGCTTGAAGGGAGGCAGGGAACAGATCCTTCCCTAGCACCTCCAAAGGGAGCACGGCCCTGCTGATTGCTTGATTTGAGACTTCTATTCTACGGAACTGTGAGAAAATACATTTCTGTTATTTAAGCCACCCAGTTTGTGGTACTTTGTTATGACAGCCCTAGGAAATGAATACACAGCTGCCTAGAAAGTTCTTTTTTGAAGGGAGAGCTGAGTGATGGACTTTCATAGCTGACACAAATCCCAAACTCGCTCCAAAGTCCACATTCTTTACCTTCCCCAGGAGGCCCATGAACTGGGGAGGGAGACAGTCAGTGCCCCATACTTTTCCTTTAGAAGTCACCACCACCACCACCACTACCTCCCTTCTCTACTGGTCCTCTGCTGTGTAAAAAGAGTGGGGCGATGGAGATTTAGTGCAGCCCCCCTGGATAAGAGAGGCAAGGCTTTAAGGGGCCTGAGCTCCATCTGGGTCATAGCAGCTCATCTGGCCCCATCACTTACATGACAAAGAAGGAGGTTTATTTGTCACCTCTCACTTTGGGGCTTCCTTCCCCTATGAGGTTGGCCTCCAGTTCCTCTGAAGCTGGAGACACTCACTGAGGGGTGGAAAGGGGGCTGCAAAGGGTGCCCCGTTTCAGGCCCAGCACCTCTGGGGAAGGCCCTGCTATAGCCTCTGCCAGCCAACACACATAAATATTTCTGGGGAGACGGTGTAAACTTTTCATCAGATTTTCAAAAATGCCTCTGACCACTCCTCCAAAGGTAAGAACCCCTGGCTTATTCCAAACCTTCCTCTAAACCAGCGGTTCTCAACCTTCTTAATGCTGCAACCCCTTAATACAGTTCTCATGTTGTGGTGACCCCCAACCATAAAATTATTTTCGTTGCTACTCTGTAACTGTAATTTTGCTACTGTTATGAATCGTAATGTAAATATATTTTTGTTTTCCGATGGTCTTAGGTGACCCTTGTGAAAGGGTCGTTCGACCCCCAAAGGGGTCGTGACCCACAGGTTGAGAACCGCTGGTCTAAACCAACATCTCTTCTCAGCTCTGCACCAAGCTCACCGGCTTCCTCCCCACCTTACAGCCCCAGAGATCTGCCCTGTGGCCAGGTTCCATTTTTTCCAAAGAAGACTTTGGCCACCTTTCCTACAGATTTACCCAGTGCCTCTTCCCCAGACAAAATGCCATCCACTTGAGGTCTCGGTGGACTGGAAATGCCAGGTGGCTGAAATGAGCAGCAGCCTTTGCAACTGAAAAAAACTGAATGCCTTGAGAAACCTTGGAGGATAGTGTCAAGAAGTGGGGAAGGAAACCCCTGTGTCCTGAGTTCCCGCTCTGTGCCAGGCCCAGTGCGAGTCTGTTCCCGTCTGTAATTTCATTGTTATTGGCCCCATTTTGTAAGTCAGAAGTCGTGGGCTCAGAGAGCAGGGAATGAACAGCTCAAGGCCACCCAGCTACAGAGTGATGAGGCTGGACCCGACCTGGATTGCTTGCTCCCTTGCTTGATAGTACGCTGCCTTCTCTTGAGTCATCCATATGGAGAAAAGGATGGAACTCTGCAAGGATTCATCTCCCACTTTGATTCAAATAGAATCAAGTTTTCATGAAGTTCTTTGGAGGTATTTGCCAACCTTATTTTTCTGGTGTCGGGGAAAATCGTGAGAAAGACTCTGACAGAGGCAAACCAGGGTGTGCTGTTTAGAGTTCTCTTCTAGGTTGCCTTCACATTTTATTATCCTTGAGATCTTTTACAACTCTCTAAGTTGTGGGAAATTGACAATAATGCAAATTATTCTTTTCCATAGAAATACAAATTAATTGCGTCCAGTAGAATTCAATTGAGTATTGTCCCATGGATAGACCAATTTTGTAAATATTTTAAAATATATCAGCATTCGTATAACCAACATACATGAGGTTCTTTTCATTCTCCTTTGAACCAATTGTACCATCTTACTGATTCCCTCATTAATTAATGAGCTAACTGACACATGTTCATTATATATTTGTAGATGACTGGGAAATGCATACTTATTGAGTGACTTTGGCGCTGACCCAAATCTGTTACCCATCGTCTAAAGTGTGACAACCTTCAAGAGGCAGGATTTTGCAATACCCAGAACTAGCTTTTTAAGATCTTTTTCAGGCTATATTCCACCAAATTCAATAATCGAGAAGAAACAGACAAATGTATAGAAGTATACAACCTCCCTAGTCTGAATCATAAACATGTGGAAAACATAAATAGACCAATCACTAGTGAGGAAATTAAAACAGTAATCAAAAACCTCCCAGAAAACAAAAGTCCAGGACCAGATGGCTTCACTGGTGATTTTTACCAAACATTCAAATAAGATCTAATACCAATTCTTCTCAACCTCTTCCAAAAATTTGAAGAAGAGGGACTACTTCCTAACTCTCTTTATGAGGCCAACATCACCCTGATATCCAAACCGGGCAAGGACAACACACACAAAAAAGATCCCTTTCAGAGTCTATAAAGTGACATTCTTTTCCTTTTTGTTCTTTTTAAAATTTGTATTACTATTTCCTGTCTTTTTAATATTTATTCTCTGTGTGTATCATAGGAAGGGCCACGAGCACAAATCTACATGGGTCCCTGCGTAGAAATGCATGTGTGCTAGCCAAGGCCACATGGGAGACATTTATTGACACTGTCACCTCCTCTGTTTACCCTCGCTCCAAGGATAGACCATAACTCAGCAGGATGGGAAGGGGCAGGAGATTCAGATTTCATGGACACGGGGGCTCTGATAACAGGAAAGGCTGTTGGAGGCTCTAGTACTGATAACCTCCTAGGCCAGTGTGAGCCAGACAATGCAGGAACTGGGGAGCTTGGGCAACTCTGACCAGGTCAGAGGATCCACCAATGTCTGAAAGATGATGCTGTTGGTCCCTGCTGGTCCCCTGCAGGGACCTGGCCTGAGCTGAGCTCCGGAGCAGGAAGGGAGTCATCCTGAAAGCCAAAGTTCAGGATGGCTTTCAGGATCCTGGTCTGAGCCATGGTCTCCAAACCTCTTTGATCTCCTATCATTATTGGTTAAAAATAATATAAGCATGCTGCTTCAAATATTTTATTTCTAAATAGTATGTTTGTTTATCTCAATATTAAATAGTAATAAAGCCTGATGACTTTTTAAAAAATAAAAATGCATATAAAGAGAAGTTCTTCCTGCAGCCCAGAGAACTGTCTTGCACCCTCACTTTGGAGACCACGCTGCCCCAGAGGGAGCCCATCATCTGTCACTGTCCTGTCTCCCTTACAGTTTTAACATATACACCAGCTCATGTGAAAAGTGCAGAGTACTATAATTATCTTCTGTGGGGCATCATTTCCAGGACCCTGAAATGCTGGCATTTTGCTTTGTTTTTGTTTTTAATAGTAGACAAAGCTTTTTGGGCCAGAATGAATGAAAGCTCAGGTCTAAACAAGGAATACCCCCCGGAGGGTAACACGTGGATGGGTATAAACTCTAAATTACCACAGTCAGCTCCTCTTCTAAGGAAGAGCACATGAGGGAGAGGGAACCCTGGAGGGGACAAAGGGGTGTAACCAGGATGCCAAAATACCGTATTTGCCGGCGTATAAGACGATTTTTTGGCCCTGAAAAATATGCCTCCAAGTGGGGGGTCATCTTATACGCCAGGTACACTTCAGATAGACTGCCCATAGTGCTTGCCCCGTGCCATAGTGGCCTCCCGATGCCCGCCCAC